GAACCTGGCATTCACATGCCCACCACCCCAGTCACCCTCCAGGACAAATCATCGTCCCTCACCCAGAGGACTGAAGAGACCCCTAACTGACCTCATACATCCTCTTGGCCCCCACTATCCACAATCTGACCTTGTAGAAATGTACCTGAGGCTCTGACTCCCTTCCTCAAAAGCCCTCCATGGCTCCCACTGTATCTAGAATGAAATCAACAAAATACTGCCTAAGTCCTATCCAGGCTGGCCCTCACCACTAGGGGCAGCACTCCACGCTCCCATGGTAGGAGTCCTCCACATGCTGCGCCTTCTGCCTGGACCATGCTCTCCTAAGACCTTAGCTGGCTTATTCCTTTGCCCTCCACTTTCCTGCCCCTGCAGAGCCATCTGGACACAACGCCCTCTAGAGGCATCCATTAGCTTCCTGCACAGATTCTCCCAGCTGTGAGCGCTTGTCGGTGGTGATTTTATTTAAGGTTCCTTCCCTGCTAGGACTAGAATCTGGATGAGAGCTGTGGCCACATCCACCTGGTTCTCCATAGTACCCCCCAAGCTCCTAGCACAGAGCCTGGCACAGAGGAGATGTCCCCAAATATCCAATGAATGAACGCCCGAGTGTGTCCAGATGAAAACGAGTGACTGGGTAGAGGCACCTTCTGGCCGCAGAGGGTCAACCTTGTCCACCAGGGCGACCTCGGTGCAGGTGCCCAGATGCCGTTTAGTCTCCTTCTCCTTGGAGGGAATGAGCTTCCGAGTCTTCTCCATCTGGGCCTTCCTGCCACCGGTCTGCACATGGGCCGGGGGCCTCTGGCGCCACTGCTCCTGTTGCCAGTCCACACATACCCTCGGGACTGCTCCCTTCAGATGACCCTAGGCCCACCATCTTGGTCCTCTGTTTTGGGTCCAGTTGAGGTGAGGTTACTGTGTGGTAGGGGACGCCCCAGAAAGGGTTAAGTTGCCAGAAGCAGAGTCCCGCCCTTGGGTTTGCTCAGCCAATCAGAGTCTGTCCTGATGAGGTAAAGCTTCTATCCTGGGTAGCATTGGTGGAGTTGGCTGGCCCCATCTCCTGCTGGAGAGAGCCGTAAGGGTGGAGTTTCTGTGGAACCAGACAGAACTGGAATTAGCTCACTGTCTACTCTCAGGCCAGGCCTGCCTGGCTCCACGACCTGCCTCTGGTCCTTTTTAAGGCATTCAGACAGTCCCCAGCATCTCCGAGGCCCGTCTCTGGCTGCCCCAGAGGAGACGACAAGGTAGCACACACCTCAGCATCCCATCTGGGAGAAGGCTGGCAGCCGGAGCGGACCCAGGAGGCCTCAGTTTCCCCGCCTGAGTCCTGAAATCCAGCAGGTGGCTACCAGGAGGTGGCATGGAGCAGTCCTCACATGTGCTCAGAGCACCAGCATCAACTTCAAGAAACAAGGACCCCAAAGGAATCTTCCTAATCAGACATCACTGACAAACCATGGCGAGAACGACCACAGGCGCCAGTTCACAGAGATCTTCTCGTAGGCCACTTGGCCAAGCACATTACCAGTGTAATCCTCAGAAGGGCCCTGTTAACCCATCCACTTCACTGATGAAAAACTGAGTCTCAGAGAGGCTACGTGGCCCGCCTGAGGTCCTGTCACCACTATGTTATTTTGAAGTATCTGCTGCCTTATCTGTCTCTGCCACTAGACTGTGATCTGCCAAGGACAGAGTGTGACAAATTCCTCTGTGTAGTTCCCAACATGGAGAGCAGGGCCAGTCTGTGCTGCCCTGCACCTTCTCCCTGGTCAGCCCCAGGACTGAGGCAAGACTACTGCGCTCAGAAGGTTCCAGAAGCCAAGCCTAGCACCATGCAGATGGGAGTGCTCCAAGAGGATTCCCTGCACGGATCATGAATACACAGCCACAGCCCCTGGGACCACTCTTAGACCTGCAGGCAGGGCCTTAGTGCTCGGATCACCACTCCGATGCCCTGGCCACCTCTCCCCAATCAGAAGAACTCCATAAGGACAGGGACCAGGTCTTGTTCATCTCTGTGATCCCAAAGGACCTAAACCAGCGTCAAGCACAGAGAACACATCCGTTATGTTTGATTGACTGGCTCAAATAACCCACCGCTGCCTCTCCCCACCAGCCCGGAACCTCGCTGGCCGCAGCGGGGACCAGCTCCGTGTTGCTCTAGATGAGAAGCGTCACAGCAGTGCTGGGGGATCGCGCGGAGAACTCAGTGTGAGTTGTGCAGACGGAAGAAAGCTGAACGCCCTCCAGGGACAGGTAATGAGGCAAGAGAGGGGCAGAGTTCCCCAGAGGAAGGAGGTTGTAAAGCAAGAAAAAAAAAAGCTGGGACAGGAGAAGAGCCACCCCACCGGTGGTTGTCAACAAAGAGCGAGCAGGAGAAAGGCAACGGAGTCCCCAGACAAGGGATGCCAAACAGCCAGCTGCTGCCGGTCTCGTTGGTCCATCCTGCCGTATGGGACCCTGCACTGTCAGGCCACAGGCACCTTAGACATGGCCTAGGGAGCCGGTACTTGCCCTTCCACCCACAAGAGGAGATAAGGTCTGGCCTCAAAGACAGTAGGTTTCATGGGAACTGGGCCAGAAGCCGGAAGCAGAAATCCTCAGGAGACTGGATGGCCCCAGGCCCTCTGCTTTCACGATCATCACCTAGCTGGAAGTGCCCAAAAACCACCTGACCAGTACAGAGGGGACCGGCTGAGGCCATGGTGGGCAGTAGATGATGAAGGTCACACAGCATGGGTCTCTCCTGTTCCTTGAGTCCCTCTTCCTCCCTTTCCCCATCCTTCCCAGCAAGCGTCTAGGTCATTTTCAGGGCAAATCACACTTATTTCAGTTGGTGAACTGGAAAAGAAAGACCTTCGCCATCCTTGAGATGGCTGAAGAATTCCCTATCCCAAAGGGCCAGGGACTCGGGGCTGGGAAGGGGCAGCGGGGTTCTAGGCAGTTGCCTCACAAACCTCTCTTTCCCCAAGAGGCATCTGGATGGGGCGGGGTGCTTAGCAGTGGGAGGTGGAGCGCCCCCCTAGAGAACACAGAGGAGTGGAAGGACAGCCTGGGCCGACTCCAGGGGTCAGGCAAGCAGGACCTTGGTGCCGCAGCCCAGCCTTGGGAAGGAGGTTTACGGTCCCCCTGAGACAGGGCAAATATATGATAGGGTGGGCCGGCTGGCAGCCACCTGGGCCTGTCACCAAGGTCACTAAAGCCTTCCTGGACTTATTTCAGCTGGAGAGAATTGTATTTATTGGAACTTCTCTTGGGAAGCCTCTGTAAGTGGCCAGAAGGAGTAAGTTGCTAAGGCTCTGAGTATGGTAGAGGCGGGTGGGGAATGTTGAACCCAGAGACGTCGGGGCCACCTCACTAGAGTGGCTCCATAAACTGCCTTGTACGGAGGGTGGGCTGGGGGAGGGTCAAGCCTGGGGCGGGGCCCGTCTCAGGCCCAGCAGGCAGTTTTGGGGATGTCCCAGAAGCTGGGTGCCTCCTCCACCTTCTCCTGCCGGCTTCTCCACTAACCACTTGTACAAAGGGCTGATGGGGCAAGGTGGCCAAACTGCTACCTACTCGAGAGGCCCATAGATCTTGCTGGGTCCCTGAGGCCAGGACCTGGGGCCCAGCCAGGTTGAGCCACCTTTCAGGGTCAGCAACTGTCTCAGACACAGTCAGCTTCCGGGTGCTCGTGACCCCACATATTGCGAGAGGCTATTACCAACATGCTCCAGAGGCAGCCAACTCTGAGGCTGAGACTCAAAGACCTGTTCCCCCACAAGAGAGGAACTAAGCCCAAAGAAAAGAAAGCAGGGGACCATTCAGACATTCAGCACCCCCTAGGGCTGCCCCAGTGAAGGGGGCTCAGCCTGGACTCTGACTGTGGCCAACCCCGGATCAGTGGGGCAAGACCAGCCTATAGCCCCCGACAGGCCTCTCCCCAGAAGAGGAGCCTGACAGTGGGACCAGCCGGTGCTACCTGGGAGAGGGCAATGCAGTGGAGTGACTAGCTCAGGGTCACACCGCCAGTCAGTAGTGGAGTGGGACTTGGGAGGCCCATGTCTTCCCACTACCCTGGTCAATGTGAAACACATCAACTCTCAAGTCCAAGATGATGAAACTCTCAGATTCTCAGTCTCTTTGGGAACAGCTGGGGATTGTCTGTCCACCAGTGACAGGAGAGGCTGCCAGACACCTCTCCCACCTCCTGCTCACAGCCCCCTCCATGAGCCTGGGCGCGAGGCCCCCGCAGGCCTGAACACTCCCAGAAGCAACAAGTCCAGCGGGTTAACAGGCTGCAGCTCCCTCTCATTTCTCCTCTTCCCCCAAACCCAAAAGCACCCTCCTCAGCAACTCTCATGGCCAACCACACCAAATTCCAAATGGCCAGCATGTTTAGTAAGAGAAGGGATCTGAAAACCTTACAAATGAAGGCGTAAAACTGTGCCTTATGGAGGCATCCAGGTGTCAAAGGGCCAACACGCGTCGTGGTCCATCCCCAAGCCCTTGGCAGTTACCACTGGCAGTCTCCAATCTTCCCTAGCTGGCCAGTCCCCAGCCCCCAGCAGTCCAAATTCAGCTCCACTTGGCTCTGGCCTGCATTGAACTATGATAGGTTCTGCCACAAACACGTCTGCCTTGGGCCAGTGCTAAACACCAGTGCGCTGCCCCCAGGCACAGCCTACCCAACGGCAGAGGGGCCGCCTGCCTGGCAGCAGCAGGGAAGCCAGGCCAAATTAAACCTTGCCCCAGGCGAACCCAACAGCAGAGCCGAGGACTGATGGATCATGCTCAGTTTGGCTCCTTGGCTCTTCCCGAGCGATGTCACGCTCACTCGACAGACCCGAAGAAAAGCCCAAGGGGCAGACCTTCCTGCTCAGGCAGCCTGCCAAGAGCTCGGTGCCCAGATCCCAGTGCCAAGCCCAGGCTGGCCCCCAGCTCAAGGCGGAGGCTCGAGGACCAGGCTGGCAGAGGGGAAGCGAGGCAGCCTGGGCCGCGGCGGCTGGCGAGGCCCTTACCTTCCTCCCCGGGGGCGACGCTGCCAGCTGTTGCTGCTTGGCGATGTTCTCCGACAGGCACCAGCACACTCTCTTCTTCTGCTCCTGCGAGTGCGCCTCCAAAGTGAATAAGCACTCTGCCTTCTGACGTCAGGGAAAACAGAGAGAGGGATGGTCAGGGCTGCTCCCTGGCTCGAGGGGCTCCCAGGCCCCAGCCCATCTCTGGGCTCCAGAGGGCGAGGCTGCAACGGGGAAGGGAGCGTCCGTCCGCTAAGAGCCACAAATGCACACTAATCCCAGGTGACATGAAGGCAGCCAGAGGAGCAGGGAAAGAGTTCTGGGACCAGCTGGGGAGCTATGGGCTGGATTGTGTTGGGGGAGGGGAGGGAGGCAGTGGCTCCCAACACAGTAAAGGCCTGTGGAGAGCTGTGGGACAGGGACCAGGGATGGTGAGGTCACCCCCGGGGCAGGCAGCACAAGGCTGCAGCTGGGGAGCACTCGGGGAATCCAGAGGGCCGAGGTCTCAGGCTGACGCTGTCTAGAGCCAGGGCCTCCCTGCTCCCCCACTCAGCACACTCCTCTATCACAAGGTCAAGGTGAGATGGATTGGATGGATGCTGAGCAGAACCAACCCAAGGAGCAACTCAAGTCCCTTTGAAAAGTGCCAGGTGGGCAGTGATGCTTCTCTGCAGCCCACCATGGCCTGGCACGTGAGCTGGGACTCTTCCATGACAGTTGAGCCCCACTGAGGGTAGGGTCACCTTGGGCACAGCTGTCATCTTAATAAAATCCTTCTAGGAAGGCCCTTTTCACCAGGCCCAGCCCTGTGCATGGAAGTACTGACTTTAGCAAGCTCTGGCTGTGAGGAGGAACTTTCAGGAAGAGGTCAAACCCAGGCCAGCTTTGGCACAGGCACAGGGACACTGGCCCCTGAAGCATTCAAATCATGAAAGGGGTGGGGTGGAGCCAGGAGCCCAGGGTTACCACCAGCCACCAACCAGGCAGGTGTTCTGATCAGGGCATGAAAGTGCTGACACCACCAGAATTTGGTTGTAACCTCAAAATGCTATGATGACGTGACCTCAGCCCAGGAAGCTTGGGGCATGAGCTGGAGGGAAAAGAGAAGCAGGCTGTGTTTCTACTTGGTCCTTCCTCACGGGATTTGAATTCTGCCTTTGACACTTCCTAGCTACCAACCTCAGGAAAATCAGGAGTTTTCTGTAACATAGGACTGATAATGATGTCACCTACATCCATTCCCAAGCTATTAGGAGACCAAGCTCACAAGGATGATCTCAGGTATCCTCATGCAAAAGCTATTGTTATTATTTAATAATTTATTCATTTAGTGCTTATTGAGCACCTAATATGTATCAGGGTCTCTGCTAAGCATTGGTAATAAAGATGCAAATAAGATTGACTAAGTCCTTGTCCTCAGGTTAGGAGGTAAGGATGATAAATCATTAAATAAATGATATAATTTAAAATGGTGAAAATGTCACAAAGGTCATACTTGAGCTGGGTGGTCAGAGAAGGCTTCTAAGAAAGGCTGAACTTGAGCTGAGGCCTGATGGTTAAGAAGGAGACAGCAAGAAAAGTGGTTTGAGAAGTTCTTCTGGGCAAAAGGGACAGAAAATACAAAGGCCCTGTGCTGGGGGTGTTCACTGGTATTTTCTTCTTCTTTTTAAAATATTTTTAGTTGTTGATAGACTTTAATTTAATTTATTTATTTATATGAGGTGCTGAGAATCGAACCCAGTGCCTCACACATGCCAGGCCAGTGCGCTACCGCTGAGCCCCAGCCCCAGCCCTCATTGGTATCTTCTAATAGCACATTTGGGAATTTTTTTCTCTGCCCTACATCAAATCCAACCCATAGGATACCATCCTTCAGGGTGGGGCCATCTCCTACCCTGTCCCCAGGGTGCCAGCCATTCCTCTGCCATAGACAAGTACTCAGAAGCTGATCTTCCTAAAAGCACCGAGAAGAGAGGGGAAGAGCCTGCTGGCTGACCTCAGAAAGGCCACTCTAACCCTCCACCTCTCACTTAACCAAGGAGCCCTCTCTTCCCACTGCAGGGGAAGGTGCAGGACCCACCCAGAAAAAGAGCAAGATTCCCCAGGAGGAAGCCCGTGGGGCAGGCACTGACCAGAGAGGCTCAGTCTCTTTCAAATTGGAAAAAAAACACCACTCCAGAAAGCTGGCCCCGGCCTGATCCTTCCAGCCCTGCAAATTCCTTCATCTCCCACAGTCTTAATGTCCTCTTTCTGTTCTGAAGCAGGAATTCTGCCTTAATAATAATTCCTTTTATCTGATTATCATTTTTAAAAAGCACTTTGCCATCCATGATCTTGTTTTGATCTTGGCAATTTCATGGAAGCGGAAAACTAAGCCTCAGAGTAGCTAAGGGCCTCGCTGAGTCTTGTGGCCAATGAATCCCAGAGAGAAGACCCCAAGCCTTACAGAATTATTTGCTGAGGTTTCATCTCCAGAATCTGGGGAGGCCTCACCACCTGGCCAAGTGCCCTTGTCTGGCAGGACTGCTCTCTCCTGCAGACAAAGCCAGAAGCAGCCACAGCACCAGGCCATCAGAAGAAACTATGGGCCAATGGGTCCCCCAGCAGCGTCGGAGTTCACTGGTAGCTTTTATACCACTATCTGCTCCACGCTCCAGCAGGGCAAACCCTTCCCTGCAAAAGTATGAGAAAACTTCCCTAGGCTGGAAGGACCCTTCAGAGAGACAGGGCTACCTCCCTAATTCTGAGACAGCTTCCTCCCACCCCCCAGCCCCCACAGGACTAAGCACCTTCCCGGAGGTGCCTCAATATTTCTTCCAATAATCGTGTACGGTAGCAGCTGTGATTATTCACTGACACCACAAGAACCACCCCTTTGGGAAGCCATGTTGCTCCACTTGGAATGGAAACCCAATCATTTGTAATGATTAAATGGGATGCTAAAAGATTCTGCTGCCAAAGCACTTAGCCCTGCGCCTCCTGCGGAATGTCCCTTGGAAAGCCATATTTCCCTACCTGGCATGGCCACCATATTGCCTGTGTCAGCAGCAGAGCATAGGGCTGGAACCCTCAAAAATGCTAGAGGACCCAGAAGGCTTCCTAGGAACCACGGACAAACCCAGGCCTGGCCCGGGACAGGGGCTGGCTGTCTTAGATGGGAAAACATTTTGAGGAGCTCAAGCTTTGCAGACTGGCCTGGCCAACAGGAAGAGCAACGCTCCAGCCCCCTCCAGGGAAGCTGAATCTCCTCCTTCCTCAATCTGCCTAAAGTGGGGACCCTCATTGCCCTCTCTGCCTGCACATGTGAACCATCTCTCAGACCAGTATGTGCTCTAAGTGACCCAACTTGTTGGTTTCATGCTGACTTGAACTTTGCCCTCAATACCAGGCTCCAGGGTCAAGGCCGTGAGCCATGCAAAAGGTATCCTCACATAATTCACATAACCCACGGGGTGGTCATCCACGCACAGACCGCTCAACAGTACAAGCCCTGAGCAAATGGCACTGGGCCCAGACCCCTGCTCTTAAACATGGCCATCCTCAAATCTAAACAGACAACCCAGCTCCTCATGGCTTCTCTGAAACCCCCATCTTGCCTCACCTCCTTGCTCCTGAATTAATTTCACTTAGATAAAAACCAAAACCTTTTCATCTATGGCTGAAGTTTGTTCACTTGCTTTGGCGAGCATGTTCTCACTGTTGAGTTCTCCTGGCAAGTTCTCCTAGTGCGTGGTATGGGGAGGAAGGAAAGTCACAGCTGTTCCCATTCTCCAGATGAGAAAACTAAGGCTCACAGGGATTAAGTCCGTCTCAAGCCTCCTCCTGAGCCTGTGATCTGTTGTGCTTGTATCACTGTGTAAGCACATCACAGAAAATGTGAGTTTTCTTTTTAAAAGATCAATAAATCATTTGTTGTCTCGCTAATGGAGGGTAAATGAATATGAAAAGCACTTCCTCTTGCTGTGAATCTGATAATAATAGTAGCTGCCTCTCATTGGGCACTCTGTGCCAGGCTCTGTGCTAAGTGCTTTGGATGCACTGTTTCATTGAATCTCATTTAATCATTACAACCCTGCAAAGTAGGCCTCCTCGCCTTGGGTCACAGAGAAGTATATAACTTGCCCAGGAAAAGGCGAAGCCAAGTATTCGAATGTAAGTCCTCCTTAGTCCAAAGTGAGGGAATGGTCCCTAGCCTACATGATCATCCACCCAATGCCCCCTGTGCTCCCATGCCCATCCTGGGCTGCATCTGTCCCATGGATTTGCAGGGGCTGAGGGACACCTGTCCAGGGACTAGACCCAGGACTAAGGACTGCTTAGGGTGACCTTCCTCTGGACTTGGAGCTGGGGAACAATTAGAAAGCTGCTACCACACAGGCAGTGGGGTCCTCTAGTGCAGAATGGAAACACCTCTCCAAACCTTGACTCATCCCCCTGGTTTCTGCTTAGGGCGCCACTTGCCCATCAGACAATGAAGAGAAGTCACTTGGTGGAAGTTCCAACTAAGACGTGAGTTTGGGGCCCTCCACGGAACCCAAAGCAGCCCTGTGGAGACTGTGCCAGCTACAGAGCAAGCAGGCGTCTGTTCTCCCTTGCATTAGACTTGCCTCTCATAAATAGAACCCATTAGGAGAAGAGAGACTTCCAGCTGCTTGTGAGCTGCAATCTCCCAGCCCCCTGGGGTCAGATCACCTGGCACTTCACTGAAATAAAAGGCCCCGAATCAATATCCCTTCTTCACTCTTTGGAGGGCTAGGACACCACAGATCCAATGGAGCAAAAGTGCTTTTCTCTGGGAAAAACAAACCCAGCCTGGCAGGAAGCTCTCTTGGTATTAAAGGTCCTGGAGCTGCTGGAGAGAATCAGAATCCAGAATGACAGCGCTAGGGGACCAGCCTGGATCATGGCTTCTCCTGTCTGCACCCTGTGCGCTTGGCTCTGTAGAACTGGACACCCCCCGGCACTGAAGCTATTCCCTGTGTCCCAGTGGGAATGTGGCTGACCCAGGGGAGGACATCCAATGCCCTTGGGTCTGTATTCTGGGCCACTGAGTCCCCAGTTCCTTCTTGGGAGTCCCCAATTCCTTCTCAGAAGGGTATATTCCTCTTGGCCAGCCGATAGACCATGTCCCACCCCCAGGGTCTGAACAGTGTGGACTCTCCCACCAGTGTAGACAGGTTCCCAGGACTATTGAGTGAGGCAGCCTTAAGGGGAGGCAGAGGGCAGGAGTGAGCCTAATGAGTCCTTCCTTAGAAATGACGCCGCCCTGCCCACACATTAGCAGAGATACAAGATTGAGAATAGAAAATTCACTGAAAATTGAAAAGAACTTGTGTGGCTCAGTGGCTCTCAATATTTTTATCACCAAGGACCTCTTTGGTTAACCCCCAGGTTTCACTATATTTTTTCTGCCAAGTCGTATCAAGCAATAAGTTGTTTGCCTAATTTTGCTCTGCATCCAAAGCACCTAGCACAGAGCCTGGCACAGAGTGCCCAATGAGTGTTTTTCTGGAGCCTCCTCCCTCCTGTTCGAGGATCCCAAAATCAAGCATGTAAGCATGGGATAACCAGGAGAGTCCACCTCTCTGAGCGGGGATCCGTCCAGCCCAAACACACACACTTCGTGTTTGCTTTAGCCTGTGTTATCTGGCCTAGGGAATAGTACGATCACCTTTGGGGCCTTTGGGGCCTTTGGGGCCTTTGGGGCCTTTGGAAACACTGATGAGACCCCGTAGGAGTGGAGTGTAGGTGTTACTTCCTGGAAAAAGACAACCAAAAAAGGCAGGTGCAGGAGCCAGGACAATCTCTAGAGGAAGGGCTGCTAAATAAATAAACAGGGTGAAGTGCAGCTGTCGGGCTGCGCCCTCATTATTCGAGCTGAGCAGGAGATCTCAGGAGCTGTCCTGAGCGCCATCTTGTCCACTGCTCTTTCCCACAAAGCTAAGAGACAGGGACACTGACTGCCATTCTTGTTCAACAGAGCAAGAGGCAGCCCTTCTGGATTTGCCCTGGATCGTGCAAGAGCCTTGGGGAGGCCAGCATCAGAACCCTCCTCCAGAACCTGGCCCCAGGTCTTCCCTCATGCCCCAAGTTCAGAGAAAGGGACTCACCTCTGCTAGATACAGCACACAGAATTTCAAGTCTTCTGAAGAACCTTTGAAAGAACAAAAAGTAAGGCTGGTGTTAGCATTGGCTGAAGAGTCTCAGCTGGGACACAGCCCAGCTGTCCCAGCTGTCTCGCCCCGAAGGCTGCAGGTGCTGCTTCCTGGGAAAAGCAGGAGCAAGAGGAAGGCACAGGGTGCAGAGCCCACTAATTAGCCAACCAGGGTGATGCACGGTTGTAAGTCGCCCATAGGTCAGCGTGAAAGGCATCCCCAGGAGAGGCACCCTGAGCACCCTTTGGGCATCCAACAGGCAGGCACAGGGAGCTGTCATAGATCCCAGGAGGCCTCCTCCTTCCCGCGATCCTGCTTCGAGGGGCGTGCAGGCAGCACACACCTGGGTTTCCCTTTAAACACCCCAATTGCCTTAGGCTATTCTGAAATTCAACAAGGAGCCTTTTGGGACCTGGAGGTGAGGAGCTTGTTTCCCTCCAAGAAACACGGGGGCCAAGGAAGGGCAATCCCCAGTCACGGGCTTTCTGAGCAGGTTTCCTGTGTGTTTTCCTGGAGCCTCCTCCCTTCTGCTCGAGGATCCCCAAATCGACCACTTACCAACCTCTGCGCCTGCAGAGCGCTGGAAGGGACTGTCAATCATTCCCTTCTCCTCCAGCAGAAGAGCCAAGGCACAGCCCAAGGGCCCAGAGGTGACCCCCAGCTGTTGGCAAGGGCATCCTGGAGGAGGACCTTCCTGAGCTAGAACTCAAGATGGGAAGGTGGAACAGCCTGAGCAAGGGCGAGGACAGCGAGAAGCAGCAGCTGTGTCCAAGAGACATCGAGTGCAGAGGAGAAGCTGCTGCCTCCTCCAGGACACCTGCGCTGGCCACCGGGCCAGTCCTTAGGCCCTGGCAGCACTCCCCATTGGGACACTTGTCTGAACACAGGACGGGGATGGATGATGGAAACTCCCTGCACTTTAAGCAATCGACTTCAGCAGCAGCCTGTCACTTTTGAGGACGCAACCATACAGCAACGCTGAAAGCCCCAGAGATCTCTGGAGTGCGACAGTGCTGTGGTCCAAATGTTGCTTCAAGTGCTTTCCATGTATCAGCTCAAGAGCTGCGGGGTAGCTCAGCGGCAGAGCGCTTGCCCGCCATGTATCAGCCCACCCCACAAGGACCCCAAGAGGGGGAGCCAGGGGTCAACTCGGCAGCCTGGTCCACAGCCCGCCTCTCAAGGCCTACCTCGAAAACACTGGGCACAAAGCACACTCCGCAACACACACTTGAAGCAAAGAAATTGTCGAAGAACCAAAATTTGTCACAAAGAAAAGGCAGCAAGGTAAAAATAGAAATTGTGGGTCAAGCCAACTCCCTAGTAAAGCAGAGAGTGGGGCGCTGGTGGGTGAAGGCCAGGTCCCCTCCAAGCAGGAACACAGGTAGTTCTCTGGGCCCAAATCTCCTGAGGGCCAGAGCCAGACAAAAACAGCCCCGAACTAAGTGGGGGTCTACTTCGGACTAGGAATAAATCTTCCTGATTTCCCACTGGAGACGGGCTGGGGAGGGAGGCCTCCTGCCTAAGAAATCATCATGTCGAAGGAAACTAATTCCAAAGCTTCTGCTGGTTCCTTGTGTTGTGGGGGGTGTGAAGACAAAAGGAGGTGGTTTCTTCCTTTTAAGAAAACACTTGACTTTCCAGAAGCAGACCTTAGTGCAGGGGCAGAGCCAAAGAGATCTATGGAGGAAGAATGATAGAAATTCGGGTTTTAGAAGCTGGCAGTGAGGACGGAAGGCTCTACGAGGAAGAGGAGCGCCCAGGACATGAAATCCTCCAGGAGGCAGGAGCGAGGCTGGGGGGCCCCCGTGGAGTCTGTTGTGAAGCCAGCTCCTGCTGCCCTGACCTCCCTGCATTGCTGCAAACTTCCGCTGGAATCTGCTCCAGTCCCAGCCGGGTGCTGGCAGCACTGTGACAGAGGATGGAATGGGGGCAGCACTCAGCATGAGTCAGAGCCTCATAAAAGAACGACAAACCAAGGGAGCCTAGGGGGCCAGGGAGGAGCTACTGTGGCCACTGAAAAGCAGGGGCAAGGGGGCTGACCCAAAGAGAGCCTCAGGGCCATGGTTTGGGTCTGGAATGTCCTCAAAAGCCCATGCAGTGGACAGGGTCCCCAAATCAGCAAGGTTCAGCGGCGGGGCTTTTAGGCAATGATTAGATCACTGGTGGGGACTCTGAACTCATCAGGGGATTGATCCATTAATCCACTGACAGCTTAATGGACCACTGAGAGGTGGAACCTATTGGAGGGAGTGGGTCACTTGGAGGGTGTGCCCTGGAAGCACTGATCTTCCCCCAGCCCCTTCCTCTCTCTGCCTGGATGCCATCATCTGAGCAGCTCCCTTCTGCCATGCCCTACTGCCACCATGCTCACCTCGGGCCCAGAGCAATGGAGTCAGCTAACCACGGACAAAATCCTCTAAAACCATGAGCCCAAATAAATCTTTCCTCCTCCAAGTTGTTCTTGCCAGGTATTTTAATCACAGTAACAAAAAGCTAACACACTTCCCTCCTGGAACATTAAGACTGGCACTTGCCTCACACATGTGAGGCACTGAGTTTGATCCTCAGCACCACATGTAAACAAAAAGACTGGGGCTTTTTGAACTACTGAGAGGTGGGACCTAGTTGGAGGAAGTAGGTCACATAAAAAGACTGGGGCTAGTGTGGAAAAGAGACTCTGAGGCAGCGTGTGCTGGGGTTTTCCTCGCAACATTCTAACTGCCTCCGCCATTTTGAAGCTCAGTGGGGAGCCATTAACAGTTCCAGAGTGGGCCTCCCTTCCCAGGAAGGAATGCACGGGCCTTGCAGGGCCGATCTCTAAACATGAGCTAAATGGAGCCCAGAGGGGTCTTCCTGGCCCAGGTCTGACCCCTCTGTTATTTTCCCAGAGCCCTTTCAGGCCTGGCCTAAAATCCCAACTCAACCATTCACCAAATCCTCTTCACCCTCTGAAGCAGGCCAGGAGGGCTGCAATCTCCATTCCCCAGACACACAGACCAAGGCCCAGGGAGGGGAAACAACCTGTATAGGGCACAGTGCGTCAGTGGCAGAGCTGAGATTTGACCAGGCGTCCCACCCCCAAAGCCTGTGTTCCTGACTGCTGTGTCACACTTCTGCCCTGCCACACAGGTCATTCCACCAGGCTGGGAGCTCCAGACAGGGACATGCCTCTTCCTCTGCTCTGGCCCCATTGGCGAGCACCAAGGTGGGCCCTGAGGACAGGTCAGCAAATGTCAATTGAGACTTAACTCCGAGTACTCTAGCAGCTGGGACCAAAGCCACTGAGTTCCCAAGTGAGAACCTGGCTCCTCAAGGTGGCTAGCGAGCCCATGAGTCAGCCGGACATTTCCAGGACACGTCTGAGAGACCAGGGCAGGCCAGGAAGATACACTGTGGGCGTGATGCTGGCCGCCTGGGAGGCAGAAACACAAAGAGGAGCAGAGCCAGCAGGCGGCAGAGGCAGGAAGAGACCACAATGGGCCCTGGCTGACCGGAGATGTCCCAATTGTTAGCTCCAGCCTTCTGCCTGTTCCCATTACACTGCCATTCAGGCCTCCTGAACTCGGGGAAAGCTGGGCAGGAGGAGGCAGGCAGGCTTGAAGAGACCACCAGCCAGGAGCCAAGGGGGAGGGGAGCCACCCCCAGCTCCCAAACTGCTGCGTACTTCTGGTCTCCTTTTAGTCGTGAAGTCAGTCCCCCAACAAGCATTTGTGCGCACCCATAATGTCCCATGCCCTGGCAAGGCCTCAGTCCCCCCAACAAGCATTTGTGCGCACCCATAATGTCCCATGCCCTGGCAAGGCCCTGGGAGTGTGCCTGGCCAGCAAAAGTGAGGGCTCCTCAGACAAGTCACAAGGGAGTCCTTGGTCCCTAGGGTCGGGTGGATTCTCCACAGACACAGCCTTTTCCGGCCCCAGCCGACAGGAAAGGCTGGATACACCCCTTCTTTACATCTTCTCGGCCCCAAATGAATTCTGTGAATGTATTAATTTGAAAGAGACAACAAGAAGCTTAGGAGCTTCAGGTAGAGACCACTGTGCCCCCAGGGGCTGAGGCCAAGTGTCTCATGGCAGCCTCACCCGGTTCCTGCTCCAGCAGGAGTCTCCTGGGCCCTGGGCAGGAGGGCAGGAAATCAGGCGCCAGGACTCAGAACAGCAGGTCCTACAGCTCCAACCCTGAGAGGAGCAGAGGGGGCACTGGACCTCGTGAACCTCTGGAGCCATCTCTGGGGGTGGTTGGGGGCACTCCAGGGCCCACTGTGGCCCAGAAAGAAGTCTTACACACCAGAGCACGCACCCTAGCTGCCCGGCATCATGGAGCCTTTTCCTTCACCCTCAACCATTTCCCCAGAGGCTGCTCCAAACCGTGTCAGGCCTGAGGTCTGCCCAACAAATCCAGAGCAGGCACATCTTCTCCCATGCCAACCCTATGCCAGGCTCTGATGTCCCTGGTCATCTCTTCTGAGGCACACTGCCTTGGCCACCCTCACTCCTCAGCCCTCTGCAGGCAGAAGTGGTCTTTAGGTCAAGGAGGCCACGCCTGCACCAGACTGTGCCTGACACACAGCTCAGCATCTGGAGAGCTCTCCTGCCTCATGACCAGGCCCCTACCACCACCCTGACCATGTGTCCCTGTGAGGGATGGAGCGCACACTTCCTCTAACTTCAAGTCTTGGGTCTGGGGGCTCCAGAGGGGAAAAAACAACTGACTCCCAGTCCAGGCCCCCCAAGGGGTGGAGACAGGGCAGCCTGGGCACTGTCCCTCTTCTCCCAGCACCCATGGGGGTCCCAACAGAGGGTGTCAGGACTGGAAGCTAACACAGAAGCCTGACCCAACCCTTGTTTCACAGTCAGAGAAGCCGATCAGAAATGGGAATGAGGCAGCCAAAGTCACAGAACATGAGCAGCAAAGCCAGACCCCCACCTCCAGCTACGCCCTCAGCTCCTCCATCCCTTCCTCCGCCCACCCTGACCTCCACCTAAAGCACAGCCAGTCGGAGCCCCCTTCTCTTCCCTCCCTCCCTGTATCTGGAAGCTGAGCAAACAAAGGTGCTAGGCTAGTGGCCCCAGAACTACAATAACACAGCAGAGTTGGGGTTCAGTTCTAGTCCCCCTCGGGGTATGTCTCTGAGCTCTGCCTGCCCAGGGCACCTCAGATTCAACTGGCCTGCACTGTCTGCACTGCGGGATGGCAGGGGCAGCAGAGGAGAGGGGTGCCCTAAGCATGTATGCAGGGTGTGCACCAGCGCAGGGAAGCCGGGTGCCAGGGAGCAGGGAGCAGCTGGCGGGCAGCAAGGAAGCCAAGGGCAGAGTCCACTGGCAGGGCACAGGGGAGCACCCAGAAAGCTGGTGCCTGCGCTGAGGACGCCTCCTACCACTGGCCCTGGGTCAGGCTGAGCCAGCCTGCTCGGAGGGAGGGGCTGGCCCCAAGTGAAGTGACTTGCTTTTCTTTTCAGTGGCCACCCTGGTCAGTGAAAGCCGGAGAGGAAGAGTTGAAAGCCATTTCCCACGGGGAGGTGAGAGTGGAATTTTGTCACGGGGACACAGCGGGCTTCCAAGGAGGAAGGCCAGCCGGGGCACCCAACACGCAGGATGGGTCCACGAGCAGTCAGGAAGTTTCCCTGGAGCAAAACCCACCCAAACAGAATTCTTTCTCTGGGTCACATTTTCCCCCTGTTGCCCGTGCTCCAACAGGTCTGTTGTTGTTTTCGTGATCCAGGAGAGGAAATCGGGCCCCTCTCAGCGCAGACCTCAGGCGCCAAACCAAACTGCTGGACACACACTCCCAGCTGGCTTCCCGTTCCCCAGCGGACCAGGGCACGTGGAAAGTTCTGGGTTAGAAATCCACTCCATGTTCCTGCATGCTGCGTTCACCAGCTCCAGCCACACGCACTCCCGCTGCCCCCAGCTCTGGCCAGGGCCATGTGGCTGGCTGAGGAGTAGTCACGTCTGCAGGCAGGCACAGTGAGTGGGGTGGCAACAAGCATTTATCAGGCACCTGTTGTGGGCCAGGCACTTTGCACGAATGACCTAATTGAACCCAACAACCTTCTGAGATACTATTATTATCTTCATTTACACATGAGGAAATAGGCTCAGAGAGGTTGAATAATCTCCCAAGGTCACACCAGTAAGGATGAGCAGAACCAAGATTTCAAGATGGGTCTGAGTCCAAAGCTCTTCCATTTCGTAGCCTCCCTGGAAGATCTCTAGAATAGAACCTCCCAGAAAAGCTCGAGGTCTACAGAAGGCTGGGATGGTCTAGAATGGAACAAGAGTATCTGAGAGGCTGCCAGGGGCAGAGCCCGACCAGAGAGCACACTCAAATGACCCACAGCTGGCAGCCAGGCTCCTGAGGGGCTCCCAAACCAGCCATCTGGCTGCCCACGGCAGGGGCACTCGTGCGTCCAGGCCCTGCCTACCTTCCTGCAGCGTCACGCTCTGGAGGTAGAGGGGATTCCTCAGGACACTGCAGCGACCAGGCTCGTCCTCTTTGGTGAAGAGCAGCAGATCCGAGTAGGCAAACAGCGTCACCTGCACCAGGAAACAACAGACAGAACCAGCTGCTCCGCTGTTCCCTGGACGTGGGCAGCCACAACCTCCCTGGAGGTCTGTGCCACACATCCTCCTCGTCATCTCAGGTAGAACCAGGGGCAGCTCCAGTGTGGCCCAGCCCATGGGGGACCCACTCTGCAGGGCACACAGCCCCCAGTTTTCTCAAGTCCCCTCCTTGAAGTAGGAAATAATGAGCAAGAAGAAAAACAGCCCTCACCCTCTACAGCCAGCAGCTTCTACCAGCTCCTCTCCAGCCAGGTGCCCCCAGACCCTCTCCTGGACTGGCCACGCCCACGCCTAGGAGCTCCAACCCTGAGCCTGCTCCTCCTCCACCTCTTGGCCCAATGGAATGAAGCATCATGTGGCCTGAAGTCATTTAGATACCTTGCAGGTAATTTTAACTGCATTGAGAAATCAGTTCAAGAAAAGCCAGTTACGTCCATTCCAATACAGACTTGTACAGAACTTTATCTCCCGTATGTTCTAGCCGCTCCAAAAACAAAGGAAAAGGCTATTTTTAGACATTATAGGTAAACTGACGGGCATGCTTGGCATACTTTTAAGCTAAAAAAAAAAACCCAGTGGATCCTCTACAGCCCGGACCGCTTACACTGCTCTTTGTTTTGGAAATCCTGTAGTGGCCTTCAGTTAAAAGCAATAAAATCCAATTTTAGATGTGCCCCCAAAACACAAAGTAGTATTCATTCTGGGATGTTCTTTTTGCGATGTCAAAAACCGACCCTGCCTCCCTTTCTGAAGTAAGAAAAGTCAGCTTGGAGCCTGCTGAGGACACACGAGCGTGTGCTGGATGGTGAGCCAAGTTTAAAAAGCCAGCGTGCTGACGCTGAGCCACAGGCCGTCAGAGATGACCCGCAACTCCACTTCTCAGATTCTTCCTACAGAAGTCAAGAACACACAAATAGGAACAGAGAAGGAAGTGCTCAGTGGCATTTCTGAAATTAAAAAAAAAAAAAGACAGAAAGAAAGAAAACATAAATGCCCATCAAGAGAGAATGGATAAAATAAATTACGCTGCTTTCAAATGGCACAATTTTATGCAACTATTAAAAGAACAAAGTAGAGCTATGTGGGCAGAAATAGAAATCTGTCTCTCATAAACTGAAACAGAGCCGTGTGCAAAAATACCTAGAATATAATGCAGTTTTGTCAAACAAAACTATAAATCTCTCCATATGCATTTTGTGTGTGTGTGTGTGTGTGTGTGTGTGTGTGTGTGGTACTGGGGACTGAACCCAGGGCCTTGTGCATGGGAGGCAAGCACTCTACCAACTGAGCTCTACCCCCAGCCCTCTCCATACGCATTCTTTAAATATCTAAGGTACTCCTGGCTCTCCTCACTCTGGAGAGTGGGGATTTGACTTTCTTCATTTCTTTTTAATTTGCATTATATTACAGTGGGACTCTGTCCCTTCTGTAATTTAAAAGTATGCAATACACATTTCAAGGCCCACTTGTGGCTTGAGCATTGCACAAACACCGAGATTGAGAGGATCAGGGCCACAGAGACAACAGGAAGATGTTCTTGAGCAGGGGGCCTCAGGGCTCCTGCTTCTCCAGTGGGACCCAAACACAAAGACTCCAGAACTCTGGGCTGGAAGGAATCTTAATGGTGATCTTATCCAACTCACTTCCCAGCACACCCTATCATAATACAGCCCAACAGAAGCCTCCATTTGTTGAATACTCTCTATGGATCATCACTTAAATAACGCTGTCACCCTTTACAGATAAAGACCCTATAGCTCAGAGAGGTTAAGTGACCTGTCTACAGCTACACAGCCAGAAACCACTACCCAGATCCAAAAGCTCTCACTATCCAGAGAGAGAGCAAATATGCCTACAACTGGCCTGTCCCTAGATGTGCAAGAATCCAAACAGGGACTAAAGAGAGGTACTAAGGAGACCCAAAATGTAAGATAGTAAAGGAAGGGGAAGAAAATAATCAAGAGTTCAGAAGGATTCAAGAGGTTGGCTGTCTGGGGGAGAGAAATACAAAGTCCAAGCAAAGGAGAGAGGATGCCACAGTAGCCGGAAACACTAGGCAAATACTCAGGCTCCAAACCAGGGAAATCTGGCTGTCACCTCCAAACACACAGGGAGGCTGTCAGGGGCAGAGCTGGAGGATACAACCTGCCAGGAGCCTAGAAAGTCAAACGTGGCCCAGGCCCAGAGAGGGCTGGACGGAGTGCACAGGGGAGGAGCCACGGGCAATGTGGGAAAAGCCCCCGGCCACTGCCCCAGCCCAGACTCCCAGAGCTGAGAATATGGTCTAGACAGGAAGTGATTAAGGCATGAATGAAGAATTTCCCCAAAGGTCAGGTCAGGGAAAGGACAGAGCTGGCACACAGCGGGCCGTGGTGCAGAGGGCAAGCGTGCCAGGGGAGAGCCTCAGACCCCTCCCAGCACACGGGCATCGGCTGGCCTCCTCCAGGAGTCGTCCCAGGGCCCACAAGAGTGAGGCCTAGCTCCAGGGTCCAGTTACCTGCGGCCTTCCCCCACTGGCCAGGGGTCCTCCAGGTGTCTTGCCCACACAGGCGCTGAGGACACATCTGTTTTCCCAAGGGTCAAGGGTTGAGGGATGGCTTAGGGAATCCTTACAACCTGGAAGGCTGTCCTCCCAGGTGGCCCCAACCAAGCCTTCTCCTGGGAACCTGGCCTCAGGGCAGGATTTGCAGAAAAGACCTTGGTGACTTAGTTAATGGTAAACTCAGTGAGTCAGTGTATAAAAAGAGGGTGTGTCTGTCTCGGGCCTCACAGAATTCCTGCAGCCTTGCACAGGGCCTGGCCACAGGCAGATGCTCCGCGGCTCTTGTCTGAACGTCTAAATGAAGCAGTTCCAAACTGCTGATTGACCTCTGGGTACATGCAGCAAATCTGTGACTTCTGGGGCAGAGGATGCATGGTGTGGAACTGGATCGTCACAGATCATCACAAACTTGAGCATGCCCGGAGAAGAAATGGGACAAAGAAGCAAACAGGGAACATTTCAGAAATAAAGAATTCTGCTGAAGGTAACAGAGAACTCCCTGCAATTTAGACCTCTCCAGAAAACAAAACCACTGCTCAGAGAGGCTACCTCTCTGCAGATTTAGAACTTCCAGGAAAACCATTAGCTGGAAAGTTACAGAGAAAAGTTAGGCACAATGGTGGACACTAGTAGTCCCAGCAACTTGGGAGGCTAAGGCAGGACGATCGTAAGTTTTGAGGACAGACTGGGCAACTTAGCAAGGCCCTGTCTCGAAATCCCTTTAAAATATGAATAAGAAGGATTGGGGATTTAACTCTGTGGCAAAGCACCCCCGAGTTCAATTCCAGTACTACAAAAAAATTTCAGGAAAACAAATATCAGGGATGATCACTGAGAGCCCAACCAATACTAGATTCTGTGAAGTTACCCAAATCCCTCTGGAATTGGTTTCTATTTTTAGTCTGAGTAACATGATAGGGTACAGCAATCCTCATATTTGGTTGCTATCATACTTCAAGAGAAAGGGATATATTTATTTTACTTGTCTTCAAATCACTTCCTTCAATCTTCAAGCAGAGGGGGAGGGCATCTCTTGGTTCTAAGGTTCCAAAGATCCACGAGGCAAATATTTTTTGGATGAAGTGTAACTATGGCTGTGGCTTGGCTTGTGTTTCTTTGTTTTTAAACAAACATGTCAGGACAGTGTGGGATCATAAAAGGCATTTCTGAGCTGTACTCAGTTATACTAATCCTGGCTCCATTCCTCACCAGCCTTGAGACCCTCAGGCCCCAGTTAATCTCACCAGAACCTCAGTTTCCTTGTCTGCAAAGTGGGGACAATCATGCCTCTCCAGGAGACATGCAAGAGCTAATCGGGAGCAAGTATATAAAATGCATGTGTGGTAAAGGTATACAGTGGGTGCTCAATATTTGCAGGTTGAAGAGTGAATTTAGACAGATGTGTGTTTCAGGGTGGCCACAATCCCTGATGGCCTTCTTCGGGGTCTGGTGGATGTGTGGTCACACCTCGCTGTCCCGGCACACCTTACAGCAATGTCACACACTCACCAAGCACAGCTCCTAAACTCAGATCTCACCAGATGAGGTCTTGCTTCTACTAAGGCAATTCAGAAGAGAGGCCGAGATTCTTAAGAAAGTTCCCAAAGTGGGGATCCAGAAAGACCGTAAGCAAAACCAGTGTTGGGGGATTAAGTACGCGGTCTACCTAAGGAGCCCCCTTGAAAAAAAGCAATGCTGATTTGAACTTGAGGGTTCTGGTCCTCTTGTTGGAAAACAAAACAAAACAAAAAAAGGTGACCTCCTGCTCTAGGGACAATCGCACAGAGTGTGCCCAGATACTTAGGCTGTGAAGCTTAAGACCCTGCCTCGAATACAGACCATCCCACCATTCGGATGGGGAGGCAGAAGAAGAGGGGAGAGGTGACAAGAGACCCAGCAGCAGAGCTGGGGCTGCACACAGGCTCCTGCTCCAAGCTTATCTTTCCACTGCCCCAAGCAGCCACTCGGCCCGGCAGACCCAGCTCGGCAGTAAGCCCTCTGCCCTCGGCTCCTGGCCCCTGGGTACCCAAGCATTTCTATTCCCAAGTAGTTTTCTGGGGCTGAGCTGGAACCTGGCCAGCTCTGGGGAGTGTGTGGGTCAGAAAAGAGCTCCCAGTTCGAGAAGCAGGGGCCAACTCCTGGGAGGAATGGCTTGGCCTGCACTCTGACCCCTGCTGGCAGAGCTGGCGCTCGGGAGAAATCAGACTCATCTCAGAAGAGGATCTGGCATTTGGGTTAATACAGACTCAGAAAATTCAAGTAATTGATGTGCCTCCAGAAATTCTCTTTGGCTAACAGCTTGAATCTTCTCACCGACAAAGCCACTCGTCACAGCTGGGACACACTGCCAGCTCTTCTCCTTAGAGGAAGCTGGGATAGGGAATGGGGTGTCTTTAGGGGCTGGGGGAGGTCTAACCATCAAAGATGTCCTAACAGCTTTGAGAGGACTGAGCTGCCCGTCACTGGCAGCGTGCAGGAAAAGGCTGGGTGGCCATTTGGTCAAGAGAACAGGGGGCGCAAGGGGGTGTTAGAAGGGTTGTTAGGTTGTATGACTCCAAGACCATCTGGAGGAGAGAAAAGTGCAGGGTACAGAGGATGGCAAGGACGGCCAGCAGGGAACGCGTGCCACCTTACCTGGGTAGCCTTGTTCCTCCCCTCGTACAGCAGCAGCTCCTCCGACAACAGGAGGGTCCGGGCAGGGTTGCAGAGATCTAGAGGCTGAAACAAGGCAGGGCTCGAGTGAGTGGGCAGTGCAGAGGCCCGGGGCACGGCAGTTTGCCAAAACCAGCCTCAGAGAGAAGACTGCGGCCCGTCCCCTCGCAAGAACCCACACGCCCCCACCACCCAAGGGACGGAAACAGAAAGACAGATGAGCCTGTCCTGTGTGGAACGGTGGCTGTCACCTTCTCCACCAGCCCTCACGGTGACAGCTGTGCTCTGACAGGAAGTCCAACCACACACTTGGTCAAGCAGAGGGGGAGGGCGTCTCTTGGTTCCAGCTGCCTGCCCCCTGCTCTGAGCTCCTAGGCCCTGGCAGCCCCCACACCCCGGCTCTGTCCTGCTCTCATCTCCCAGGAAGGTCTTTGCTGTCCAGCCCAGGAGGCATCCTGAGAACCACACCCGAGAGATCTGGCCACTGGAGTCCCTTCGAGGCCTATCCCTGCTGTGCATTCATAACACACTGCCGCTGACTGCCTCCTCCTTGGCCATCAGGTCTCCAGGAACAATTCCCACCCAAACTTCTCACCCCAATGTCCTGTCCCCATGCAGCTCAGAGAGAGCTCCCCATGCCCTAGGTTCCAGCAGGATGCGACCTGCTGAATGTGCATCTGTGACGTGGCTCTAACTACCCAACCTCAAGCCAGGGGCCGGAGGAAAGGTAAAAGTCCCCAGGACACGCAACAGCCTCCGCGGATCTGATCAACAAGCCACGAGGCGAGACCTGCGTGAATATATGCTGTCTGGTCCTCATTAAATAGCACTCAAAAAAGGCCAAACAAAACATGTTTTTTAGGGAAACATGCACAGATGGTAAAACTAAAAAAAAAGCAAGGAAATGTTCCCCATCAGGCCAGGCCGGTGGGAAGGAAGGGCATTAGGATCAGGGAGAGCATGCAGGCTTCCAGGCTGGCAACGAGGGACAATTCCTTTATCTCAGTGCATATTTGTGACATAATTTGTACATTTAAGTGTTAGGCCCTTTTTAGTTTATATGGTATGCAATTTTAAAATTTTCAAAAAGTTTCCATTACTTTTTTTAAAATCAATTTTAGTTTTATATCAAAATTTAAAAAACAATAAATAACCCCCAGGGATGTCAAGACCTTTGGGTCACAGCCTAAGACACAGACTCACAGACAGACAGAGGCCAGGCCCACAGGCGTGGAGAGAGAGAAGAGGTGTGCTGCTGGCCACAGACGCATGGCATCTAGCCAAGCAGGCATTCTAAGATCCACTGACTATGACAGACCCAGGATGGGATGCCAGGAAGACCAGAGGAGGGCAGGGGCAGAAGTGACACCCCTGGGACCGTGTCACCTCTGTGCTGCTGATGAGAGAATGAATGGGATCATCCTGGTACGCACGCAGCTTGTTCACGTGTAAAGAGGCCTCCACGTGCGTGGCTCAGCCTTTTCACTTCCAAGAATCTTTCCAAAGGCAAAGAATCAGAGAGGCCATTCATGTGCCAGGATTTTCATTACAGAGCAGATTACGATAGCAAAGGAGGAGAAGAGTGGACACGTATTTGAAGGGAGGACCGGTGAGACAAGCCTGGCAGGTGATAAAGGATTGGGCGACCGCCACACGACCCAGACTTCAGGAGCATCTAGTGAGTGGGAGATGCTCTTGCTACCATGTTTGTTTAAAAACAGCAAAAGGAGGGGCTGGGGATGTGGCTCAAGCGGTAGCGTGCTCGCCTGGCATGCGTGCGGCCCGGGTTCGATCCTCAGCACCACATACAAACAAAGATGTTGTGTCCGCCGAAAACTAAAAAAAAATAAATATTAAAAAGAATTCTCTCTCTCTCCCTCCCTCTCTCACTCTATCTTAAAAAAAAAAACAGCAAAAGGATACATAGAATAAAATCTATTTTTTTTAAATGTGTATATATATATATATAGATGTGAACACAGAAAAGGCACATCTCGATAGTCATACCGGCTATTATCTTGTTGATGGAATAAAGATTATTTTTAAAGAGAAGGTGAGAGAAATGCAGGAGAAGAAGAGGAAGGAGGAGGAGGAGAGGGAGAGCCAAAAGCATCCCGGGCCACAAAGCTCTCCTTCAGCCAGTTCTGAACCAATCACTGGCCAAGCCAAGGAGCGGATGCCTCACATGAGAGCACCTGTATGCACTGCCCTGGGCCAGACAAAGAGAAAGCCAGGAGGGACGGAAGGGGCCCTCTGTGCTCCACGTCCTCCTGGAGACTTTAGCCTGCTCACGTGACCTCAGAATCCTGAGCATCCGAAGCCATTTGTCTTTCCCAAAAGGAGAGTCCTGCGTCCTGGGACCCACACCCCACCTGGTGCTCACTTCCTCCTGAGGGGACCCTTGGGGCCAGCCTGACAAGCTCACCTGTACAAAGATGGGGAACACCAGGACTTTGGGGGCCAGGGTGACATAGGTGCCATAGCTTGAGTGCGTGGCATGCGGCCTCAGGACAGGGCAGTCCTGGTAGTTCCCGTGGCCCTTCACGGTCTGCACTGTCTTCATCAACCGGGACTTCTTCCCCAGGCCCGTGTAGGACTTTCCTTTACTGGGAGTCCCTGATTCTGTGGACAGAGATAGGGGACAGTGAGGTGTCTCCATCACCCCTGCAAAGGATCCTCTCTGTGGAAACAGGGAGCACAGACTCGGCCAACACTGGGGCCTGGGCATCCACCCTGTGCCAGGAGGAGAACACAGGGAAGCCCCAGCAGGGTCTCGGGCCTCAAGGAGTCCCTCACCAACAGGTAAATAAGCACCTCCAGGGCAGGACAGAGCTGGGAACCAACAACTGTGACCACGGCAGCAGTCCCCACCTGTGACCCCAGCCCTGAATCCCATCCATCGGTTTACTGACCTCCTGCTTTTAAATACCAATCGAGTGTTCATATTTTAGGAGTCAGGGGGACTGACCTCACAGTCCCACAGGGAATGACGAGTTGGAGCAGGGGAGACTGCCTGAGGCATCTGCACCCCCGCTGCCATCCCAGCCCAGCTGGCCCATCATCACCCCTGAGCAAAGTTCCATTCTCAGCATCGGTGGCAGAGGCAGTGGGCTTTCCCAGGACATATGGGGTCTGCTGGAGCCACCTGGTCACCACAGTCTAGACTAAGGGCGCCTGCCGCACCTGTTCTTGGTGGGAAGCACCAACTCAAATCCTGCTCCCCACCTGCTAGCCCGGTGACCTCAGGAGACTGACTTCCTCCTCAGAGCCTCGGTTTCCTCAGCTAGAATAACAGGGACAGGCTCATGGGACTGTTGCAAGGGTTAAAGGGGATGCTCTGAGCCAGGTCCCCAGAAGAGCTCCTGGGACGGCATGTCATGTTTGTCATTGTGATTCCCCCACTTAGAAAAGCAAATTTGGAAATTAGGCACCCCGAGGAACTCTGGCAAGTCTAGGCATTGTCACAGGTAGGAGGTCCTCCACTTGGCCACCAGCTTACACAGTACTATAGTCATAAAAAAGAGAAAGAGAGTGAGGAACAAGGTCACCCCAGGGAAGAGAGCCACAATGACAAAAGGTGGTCCCTCAGGGACCCCGCTGGACACACACCTCAACGTGAACAAGGAGAGGTGCGCGTGTTTTTATCATGTCCCATCAGATGGGCAGAGAAAAAAGCCCAGAGTGACTAAGAAATCAGAAACTCCTGAACACAGCAGGGGACAGACAACCCCAGAGTAACCAGGCTCCAGGTGCACCCAGACCTTTTCTGAGGACTCCTGCTGCCAAGGGACCCAGCCAGGCCCTCCCTGGCCCCGGGGCCCAGCCTGGTCCCAGCACCCAGGCCACCTTCTGCCCCAGCCCAGGCAGCAGTGTGAGGGATTGACAGGTGGCCTGACCCCGCTGCAACCCAGGGAAGCTCCCCGCCAACGCAAGGCTGGGCCTGGAGGTTTCACACCTGCTTCCTCCTCCCACCCAGGGCCCTTCTCACCAAGATGTGAGAAAAACAAGTCAACTGCTCCCCCAAAGAGTGACCACCGATCACAGTGGAATCAGGAGGCGGCACTCCCACCACGATCACTCAAACCGCTTCCTGCTTCTTCAGTGAATCACCTAGAGAGGAGCAGAAAGAACCAAAACCCAGGATGGGGGCAGGAGGCGCAGACGCCCCTAGAAGCCCACATCTTTTTATCAGCTCTGGCCCCAGCCGGCTCTGTACTGCCAGGTGCTGGCCCTTTTGCTGGAAGAATCCACACTAAGTTTCCAGGTTGGCGCGGGATGGAAACTGGGTAACCCCTGAAGCTGAGCACGTGTCCCAGGTCAGAGATGGCTGTGCAACCCCGAGTGGGCTCCTTTGCACTCGGAGTCAGCTTTTGCCACTGTAAAGTGGAGGTCATGCAAATTTCTGCCTCACCCGGCCCAAGGCCAGTGGGAGCTCACAGAGGCCTGATGGGAAAAGGCTGGACCAGAACACAAGTGCCCAACAAGTGACCTCAAACCCTCAGCACTGAATACGCAGCACACCTGGGTTGGCAGGAAGACAGAAAGGGCAGCTGGACCTCAAACCGTGCTGGTGCCACGGGGCCCGCCTGGCACGACACAGGCTAATTTGGCATGGCCAAGCCTAGACCAGAAGGCAAAACCACCCAGGGCTGACTGGAGGCGACTGAAGCCAACTAGACCAAAATTAAACAAGGGTGCCACCTGCACATGGCAAAATGGGGGCCCTGGGCCCCAAGTCTCAGACTCCTAAAATAATCCATTCCCTCCCTTCCCTGGCCCAGGTGCTCATGGCTATCAAAGAATGTTCACTTGGATCTCGAGAGCCATAAATCAACACCTGGCCCATCATGTTGCCTTCAGAGAGGAAAGGTCTGCTCAGCCCCATTTTATAGACAAGGAAACTGAGGCCTAGAGTGGTTGGGTGAATTGTCCAAGGTCATTTGGCTGGAAAACGTTACAAAGCCCACAGCCCACCTCCACAACCCCGGTGTTGGGGGGCAGGTAGGCGTGGCTCTCCGGTACCCATTTTCTAAGTATTTCTTTTTTTAGAACAGTGCAGATTGCAACCCGGTTGTGGAGCTCGGTGAAGGCAAACTCATTTACTTCCCATCTGCTCCTTCCACAATGACGTCTGGTCTAAACCCCTACTTCACCCAGTTATCCTGCAACACCTGCCTCCCTGACCAAACACGCTAATTACATAGCGTGGCTCTGAGCTTCCGAGGCGCGCCCTGGCAGCCTTCCCACCCTGGCAGGACTGGATCTGAGGCCAGGCTGCCTTCACAGGGCAGGGGACAATGCTGAGGGCACCCTCGGCCAATGGGAACATGCCAAGTACAGCCGGATGGGTGCCCCAGGGCCCAGCGGGATACCAAACCCTATTCAACTCAGGACGGTTCATGCCTCCTGAAAGGCCAGCTGACTCCTTGCAGCCTGGTCAGGGTCACAGCCTTGACCTCCGCACAGCCCCCAGTATGCTTCAGGGAAGCTTTGTGCCCTGGATTTCACCCCTTCCTCTGGACCCCAGGACTGGAAGCACAAAGACTTAATCCCTGGTAAAGAGCAAAGATCTCCCTAGATACCAGCAGGGTTACTATTATGAAGAGTAAACAAAACAAAGTCAAAAGCTTGATAGAAGGCATTCAAAAAGTCAACAGTGGCATTAACCACACCATCGTTTCCCCGAGGCTCAGACGTCTGTTCTCTTCTTGGGATCACAGTCTCAAGAGTGAAAACATGGACACATGTGGGGAGTGGCCCTGGAAGGCATCTCTCAGGCTGAGAGGGAACCAACCCCAGGCCGTCCAGCCCATGGTCACGTGCCCACAGCAGGTGACACCCCTCTCCGGCACCCTTAGCCCATGCTCAGAGTCAACTGGGGTCATTCTCCCTTAGTCAATCACTTAACCAAAATCTTACTGAGTATCTGCTGTCTGCCAGGCCCTGGGTCTGGGACTAGACTCAAAGAAATATGCCAGACCCAGCCCTGCCCTTAATGAAGTCACCATTTAGCAGTGACATCCTCACTCTCTAATCTAATGTGCCAACTAAAAGTTTCTTAGACACTTCTTGTTGAATCATGATCAGAGTCCACCCACCAGGAGTGGCCTCACTTCCAACAGACCAGGCCCAAGAGCACTGAGGTCTCAGGGTGGTGAGGAAGAAAGTGCCTTCCTCAGTGACCCTGAGCCTGGTAGGAGCCCTTCTCCTCCCAGAAGAAACAAGCACTCTTCCAAGTACCATCTTCATGCCGCCCACGGAGGAGAACAGCAGGAAGCCAGCTGCAAATGCTAAGGAAAGGCCATCTCGAGGAAGGAGGCCAGGAGCTCTGAAGGCACAGAGGAAGGCTCCAGCATGCCCAGGCGGGCACCACCGGCCACCTGGCCAGTGTCTCCCAACCCTCCAGACACCAGCTGGACTTCTAAGTCAGAGCTCTGTGGCAGGCATGGAGGACCTCATGGAGTGCTCAGCCAGCCAAATGTCAGGACCCACAGGCCAGGCTTCCTGGGAGAAGGGGTTGATTTTGGAGTCTGGCTTCCATCCCTGGCTTGGACTTGAAAACCAAAGGAGAAGAATCCATCCAACAGCAGGAGACCTCTGTGTGCTTCTAGGACAACCACCTCAGGTCACAGGCTACTGCTCACCACCGTGTGCTCATTTAATCTGCCCAACAAGCCTCTGCATAGGAATTACTGACCCCCCATGTTATAGGCGAAGGAACTGTGGCTCAGTGAGGAGAAACGACTCGAAGTCGCACTGCTAGAACTCCAACCCAAGACCTCCGGGCTCCATACTCCACGACTCCCATCCATGCATCCCAGTTACACTGCCTACAGCTCTCAACAAATATGGCAGCTCAATAAGACTGGAGGATGCTTGACTGGATGCCTGAGACCTGAACACTCAGTCTCCTAGATGACTCTGGTAGATTCCCCTCTCTTCTTTCTCAGTTTCACTTCAAGGAAAAACATGGTGGTTCAGTAAGGGAGAAAAGGTACCCAGAGGAAAGAGGGTCTGCATCAACATGCTGGGCAACCTTGACTCTGACAGAGAGGCTTCTGAACTCTAAGGAAGAGGCTGGGCCACACCTCAGCTGACCTCTGCCATCTGCCCAGACTGAGATGGTGGGAAGCTCACCTTCGGGGATGGTGTCCTCCTGGTACAAAGGCCGCAGGAGCTGCAAGAGAAAGACAAGAGAACAAGCTCAGCCCCAGGAATTGGGCAGGACAGCCCATCAGGCAGCTGGACACCAGGCCTGGGGGACAGGAGGCAGAGCATCTCAGGGCCAGGGGGAGAAACAGCAGTTTTACTGACTGGCTGAGGGAGGGGGCCTGGAGGAAACACAGAAGCAGGACAGTCAAACGAGGCTTTATGTGTCATGAAGTCTCACCCCTTGGCGAGACCCCCAACTTCTTTTGCGGCAGCTTCCTCCATGGATCACTGGAATAGGGGACCCTAACAGCCACCACCAAGGAGTGCCACTATGGAAGAAGTTTGGGGCAAGCAGGGTTAAACAAGGTTCAGCCACCTCTACTGAAGGATGCTCTCAGAACCTCAAACAGGCCAACGTGCATTGGGAGCCTCCCAAAAGGAAAGAGGGTATGGGATCCCCAAATGTGTGTGATCTCAGAACACTTTTTTTCCTAGAATATCTCATGGGATTAATGTTTGGGGGACGCGCTTCACCGTCCCACCATGTAAGCATGCAGCTCTGCCTTCACACCTCCTGCCACAGGGGGCCCATTCCCTCAAGGCAGCCCTCTGACCACGGAAAAGCACACACGAGGAGAAAGTTCGTCCTTCTTGGGAGCTGACACTTCCAGCCTGTGCATCCCCTGGCCCTGGCTCAGCTGCATCCTCCACCCAGGACAGCCTTGCAGAGGCCAGAGCCAGGGCAAACCCATCTCCCTGCTCGATGCCCCCAGGCCCTTGCAGGCTCCTCTCGACACCTCCTACCCTCCCACAGGGACCCAGGACTCTCCCCATGTCCATACCTGGCTCCCAGGGTTCAGCGGGGCCAGGATGATGTAGTTGGGGTCGGTGGGGGCAGTGGCACGGGACAGCGCAGGCAGGGTGTGCTGGCCCCCGCGCTTGGTCACCTCGGTGTAGCGCTCCCAGCCACCGAGCAGCAGCCCATCTGAGCTGTCGCACACCAGGTGGCAGCTGTGGCGCTGCTCCGGTCGTGCCTGGGCGCCATGGGTGCAGTTCTTCTCCCTCTTGTTGGGGGGTGACTGGAGGTCATGCGTTGACTTGCAGGAGGCCCGCCGTAGGACCCCGCCATCTGGCCCAGGCTTGATCTGGGGAACCATGCGCCACACCAGCAGTATGATCTCACCAGGGCAGCTCCTGAAAGTGTGGGGGGTTACACAGAGAAGTTGAGTCTGGGGGAGACCAAAGTAAGCCAGGGTGGAGGCTGCGGAATCAAGAGGAAAAGGAGGGGAGGAGGAAGCAAACCCAGGGGCAAAGTGCCCAGTGTCAGGGCCTGAAGGGACACAAGAGGCTATTTAAAGCAGATATAGCAAAGGGGTCAGCTCTAACCTAAGCTCACTCAATGGAGGCTGAGAAGGACCCGAGGGCAAGGCCAAGTTCAACAGGAAAGAGAACCATACCCAACTCAGGCTGCCTGTTGTAGGTAAGATACAGCAAGCAGCCACAAGACAACTACCTACACGCAACCCTTCTCTAGAGAGTCTAGAAGCAAACCAAAATGGAATCATTAAGGTCTTACCCCAGGGGATCAAACTTAAGGGGCCCAAACATTTTTAATTTTTTAACTGTGCAGTTGAAAAATTTACAACATCTACACGCCCTAAAACAGAGGGCTCAGCTCTTAGGTGGCAGAAGTACTTAGCTGAAGTGGAAAGCAACCCCCTGGAGCCATGTCAGGAACCACGGGGTCTGTTTAAGAGCTTCTCCCTGCTGTTGGCTCTGGGATCCAAACTGCTCTGAGCCTGAACCTTCCATTTTCAGGGCAAGAACCGGATTCCCCGAGGAGCACAGTGAATTGCTCACAGCGGGACAAAGAAGGGAACAGCGAGAACAAGACAGGACAAGGCAATGTGCCCAGAGCTGGGGTGGGAGATATGTGCCACCCGCTGCCCCTGTCACCGGATCTCATGTGCCAGCTCCACACATTTCCAGTGCTCCACCGGCCTTTCATTCAGTTGCAACACCGTGTCCAGCTGCTGCAGCCCTGCCCGCTCTGCCGGGCCTCCTGCAGGGACAAAAGAAAACCCATTCAGGGACCTCTAAAGCCCCCAGCAAAAGACCTGGAGTGCTTCACTTCCAGGGTGACTTCGGACAAGAACCGCCCTTTTACTATCTGTGTCTTTATCTGGGAAATGAGGGGCCAAACTGAGTGGCTTTCCAGGTCCTGGAAGGGAGGTACCCTTTGCCCTCACCACCTCCCTGCCTGCCCCACCCAGGGCTGGCTCACCTCTCTGCTGTCCTTCCCTCCGCAGGGCCTCCCCGCCCACTGAGAACCCTCTCTGGGGCCAGTCTCACACTCCCCCATCCATTGTTCCCACCTCATTCATTGAGTGCCAACTGCATGCCCATCGCCCTGATCACTGAGCCTTGGCTTCTGCCCATTAAGTGTACCCCCTGTGATGAGCAATCTTTCACTTGTTAAAAGTAAACAGAAGGGATGGCTGATTCTATGTGCTAATCAGGCTTACAGGAGGAGAACTGCATTCCAAACACAGTCCATAACTGACTCTCATTTTCCCATGTAGCCTTTACAGAAATCGGGCTCAGTTCCTATTCAGAATGACTGAGAAACAAAATATAAAAACTTATTTTCATTTTGATAAAACAACAACAACAAAAAGAGTGGATATATTTTCATAAACTTCAGTTTCATCCGTGGTCATTTAAAAATATTATTCTTTTCATTTTGAAACCCAGAACTCTTTGCTCCAGTTTGGAGCTCCCTGTCCAGTTCCACCCTGTCTGCAAAGCCCGGGTGCTTGGCAGGACAGTAGAGTCCTGAGTCGCTCACTTACCAGAATCCACAGCCTGGACTCGGACTGGAGAGTCGCAGCAGATGGTGAAGCCAAAGCCGTCTTTGCCCCTCGGGATGGTGATCTAGGACACAGCCCTTCCCAGTCACTCCCAGGAGCCGCAAGGCTGGGAAGCCCACAGGCCCCACCCAGAGCCACCCTCCTCTCCAAGGAAACCAGAGCTGAGAAGGAGCAGACTGTCCCAGTCTCAGCCCAGGCATCTTGACGCTGGGTTGTGGGCCAAGCAGGGAAACTGAGAGCTCAGGCGGGAAGCCCCCCAGTCAAAGCTGGAAGGGACAGGGGTCTGGGAAGGGGATACCTTGCCCAAGTCAGCCCCAGCAGCCCCAGCTCTCTGCCCAAGGAATCCCTGAAGCTGCGTCTCCACCTTGCCACGTCCCACGTTCATCTCATCCCTTCATTCTTTCCCAGAGACCATGCATCACCACAGGGCTGGCCCTGGGCTAAGAGTCCACAGGAAAAGTTAACACGGGGGCTGCCCTCTCAGCACCCAGGGTACGGAAAACAGGGTCACACTTGCTCAGTGCCAGGTCAAGAGTCAGAGGAAGAACCTGGGGTTCTTGGGCACTCATGGCTAGGGGCCCATGGCAGTCAATGAGCTCTCAGTGCAGGGGCAGGTAAGGGAGGGCACAGCTGGGCCTCCCAGCTGAACATGAACTAGCCCCTGACTCTGCTGAGCCTGCAGGGCTGTGTGCAAGGCAGGTCCACAGTCCCGTCTATCAGAAGTGCCAGGAAAGGGCCCTGTCATCCGTGTCCTCTCTTCAGACCCACACAGCTATGGAGCTCCTACTGCACACCAGGCTGTGCTGAGGTTCAGAGGCGTATGGCCTTGGTCTCTGTCCCGCGGAGGCCACAAGAGTACATAGATCTCTCCAAAGAGATGCAGGCATGATAAGCAAATAGGAGGACTGTGCTTAAACAATCCTTTGTGCTTCAACTCCAGAGGTCACCCTTACGCATGGTAGGAACTCAACAAAGGCTCAGTCCACAAGGGCGGCCCAGCACGTCCCACCCGCAGAAGGACGCTGTGTGCAACGTGGCGCATGGGCTCCCTTAGGCTTCACTTCACCAGAAAAAGGCAGAGGTGAAACTCAGAGGGACCCTGCAGAGGCACAGAGCTATCCTGGGCAGCTCAGCAAGCTGGCAAAGGTCAAGGGCACCGCTTGCTGGGAGACCGCTGGCCCTGACCTTTAGGGGTTGTCTCTTCTGGGCTGGGTGCTTGCATTCACCTGCCGGCTGTCCCAACGCCAGGCTTGATGAAGGGGAGCGGGTGGAGGCCCAGAGCCACCAAGGCCCTTGGAAGCTGCAGGGGCCCCTGAGGCTCTGCTTCCCACCAGCCCTGGGCCTGGATTCAAAGTGAGTTTGTAAAACAGGAAATCTGACAGACAAGGGGAAGGGGGAGGGGGCAGGAAAATACCCTACTCCCATAAGAATTCTGGGAAAACACGCAGCTAAGACAGGAAGGGAAAAAAAATGGAAAGAAAGAAAGAAAAACAAACCCAGGAGTGAGTGTGGAAAGCCAGAGGAAAGGGGTAACCTCTAACTTCCCAGCCCTCCTGAGGCCCAGAGAATACTCCGGGGCCTCCTCCACTCCACAGGACCAGCTCTCGGGGGCTTGAACCCCCTCCAACCCACACAGCAGCTGGATCCCAAAGCCCTCAGGCATTTCCCCAGTCCTATCCCATGACGGTGCCATGGCACAGCACCCTGGGGCTCTGGGCTAACAGGTTTTGACTGGTGGTCCCAGAGCTGAGTCTGGAGAGAAGGAATGTGCTCCCACATTCTGGTGGCCTCGTCCAGGCAGGGACAGGAGCCCCTCCACCTTCCTGAGCACCAACCTAAGAAGAGATAGCCCAGAGAACTGTCCAGCCCTGTGGGAGCGGAAGCAGTGGAAGGAGAGGACACAAACTCCTCTCCTGGCTCAGCAGGAGGGGTGGGGCTGCCCGGGGAACAAAATGATGCTCTGTGCACTGTGATCACCGGCCATATTGAGAGGGTGCTGTCCAGAGCCTCCCATCGCTGTGGCCCCAGGGGAATGCAGTTTAGCATGCCCATTTCACAGAAAAGAAAACCAAAGCCTAAAGAGAGAAAGTGCCCAAAGTACCTACCTCGTCCCCAGCCCTCCTCTCTGACCTCAGGACTGGGGGGGAAGCTGCAGGGGGCTGTCCTGACTCTGGGACCTCAACCAACAGTTTGCCTCCCTGAGGGTGGTTTTTGCTCTTTACTGCCCAGGGCAGGAAATGCTACTGCCCCCAAGTCTCAGTCAGGCCTGCACCTCACTTCTGCTCTCCTGCCTGGTCCCTGATGCTCTTTTATGCCCGGACTTCAGTCCCCAGCTGCCACCCTAGAAGAGCATAGCAGACACTGAGCCAAGCATTTCACATGTATTGTCTCGTCCACTCTGACAGCACCATCACTGGGTTTTACCATCTAGGAACACGGAGCTTGAGGCTCAGAGAGGGAAAGTGCCTTGCTCAAGGGCTGCAGCTAAAGGGGGCCGATCTCGATTTGAACCCAGGTCCCACAGAAAGCTTAGCCATCTCCACTCTGCAATGGTTTCTAAAACAGGAGCTGTTGGAACACTGAGCCCCAGGGCCCCAGGTACAGCCCACACCAGCGCCTGGGCCCCCTCTGACCATCAATGCACCCTGGTCTTCTGATCCATAGTCACAAGGAGACCAGGGACTCCATAACATCCCAGTCAGGACTCTCCCTGTCTCACCATTGTGCCACCCAAATGCTAGTGTCACAGGGGCTACTCTTCCAGGCTACAGGAGGTCAGGGAGCACCAAGTAAGGCTGGCAAGGCAGGACCTGAGAGCTGGGAAGAGGTGGTGGAAGAGAACTCCAGTTCTCTGGTAGCAGGTGTGGACATAAGGGGTCCCTCTGGGTATCTCCCTGGGACCTACCTGACACATGTCAGGGGAGTCAGGACCCAATTCCAGTCTGGTTATCAAATCAAGTTTTAAGAATCAGAACAATTTCTGGACTCCCTTCTAGCTTGGCCAACGCCAGATTCTGGACATCTCCTCCTTACCCTCACTAGCTCTGTTCCATTTTTATAAGGGAAAAAAGCCTCAGCACAGTTCCAGAGGAGTTTCAGGGGTCGATGGATCATCACCCCACCCTCCAAGACCAAGAAGCCAGACCCTTTCGGTAAAGTTGGATTCCAAAACCACAGCTGAGGGGGTCCAGGCCGGCGGGAGGAGAGTCACACGTGTGTGCATGCACACAGAAACATCCTATCCGCACACGGGCGCACACCACACACACAAAGGGCGGAATGGGTACCGCCATCCCCCGGGAAGTGGGGAAAGTTAGCAAAGTCACAGAAGCCACCTCCAGAAAGAAGCGCCCAGCTGCTCAACCACCAATCCGCTTGCCATCTTGGACTCCAGATGCCTCTTTAACCCACACCTCCTCCCCAGATAAAAAGAACAGAAAATCAGCTCAATAAACTCTCCCCCCAGCCAGTGGTTAGGAGGCTGCACGCAGCAGAGCCTCACTGCCGCTAACACGGGACTGTCGGTGACAGGCTGGGCCTTGGTACAGCTCCTGCCCCTGTCCTCCCCCAGACTGAGCCGAGCCTGCAGGAAGGAGAAGGCCGATGGGGAGAGGTCCGCTGGAATGAGCCCCCGCCCCTGTCCCCCGATTCCCCACAGTGCCCCCCAAGGGGCCAAGCACCCACCTGGCGGTAGCGGCGCTCCGAACACACCTTGCAGAGCCCATTGAAGCGGTTCATGGCTGCGGGTCCTGCCTCGGCTGCCGCCCCATGAAAACCCAGCTCTCCCCCCAGCAGCGGGAGCCCGCACTGCGCCCGTCAGCCTGGCATGACCGCCCTGGGAAGCCGCCCCGCAGAAGAATGGCAGGAAATCACCTCTCACCTCCCCAAGCCCTGTCTGCGCCGTGTGCCTCTGCAGATAAGCCCGAAGGCTTCCTGAAACCTCAGAATGACAAGGAAGAGGGAGAGTTTTATATTAAAATTCCTGTCAACTAGTTAGTATTCCCCGGGCCTGGCGGGGAGAGGGCGCCTTTGTTCTGGCCGCATTCTCCGCCATGGGCCACTTTGTGATTCCAATGTTCCCACAAACACCCCTCGCTGCCTGCCCAGGAGAACCCAGGCAGAAAACACGACTCTGCGACAACACCGCCTCCCCTGCAAGTGCCAGGTCCCCAGCAGCAAATCCAGGGGACTAACCAGAGAATCTGAGGAAGCCCGGGGAGGGGGAGTTGCACCTGAGGACGTCCCATCTCAAAACAGGGAGCATAAAACATTTGGAGCCTACCACTCAGGGGCTCCTGAAGTCACTGTCTTTGTCCACATGAAGGGTCTGATGGCACGTGGACCATAATGGCGACTTGGAAGGGGTTTCCAAATCTTCAGACCACCCAGCCCCCTGTTATTATCAACAAAGAAACTGAGGCCCGGAGAGGCTGTCACATGGCAAGGCAGACCCAGGCTCTATCTCTGGCCTGTGGTTCCAGAATCATATTCTGCAGAGCAACACAGTATAAGCCTGGCCCTCCTGCCCACCTGGGAGCCTGAGGAAGCCCACCCACCCACTTATGACCTTATGACAGAGGTGCCCCACGTTTGGTTGCAGTGTGACAGGTGACCCAGGTTTCTGGGCCTCCATTTCCCCACCTGCACAGTGTAGAGATGGATGGGTGAGACCTGGCGGCTTTCCCAGGTCTCTGGCAATCACACCCTCTTTGCTGAGCCCTGTGGACACCTTTGAGTGTACAAACCCAGAAAAACCCACACACCTCAGAATAATGTTCCCAGGGGCTAGGGCTTGGGCACAGAATCCAACATGAAGCAAGACTTTCCTAAGTCACCAAGAAACCTGTAGTGTCTATGTCCATGCAATTCCCATGAATCCCAAGGGTGGGTCCCCCAGGACTGTCCTTTCTGTACTTGGTGCACAGAAAAGGAGGAAAGTCTTTGCAGCTACTCCTAAAGCTGGACGAAGCTTTTCAATTCCTAACAAAAACCACAGAAAACACTGGCAGGTTTCTCTCACAGCAGGCTGTTCAAAATGGGGGCAACTAGACATGGGTGCAGGGTATTGAAATTACTTTAAATAAAAGCCGACATTCAGCTCCTCAGTCCTGCTAGCCACATCTGAGTGACAGCTCAATAGCCACAGGCAGAAGTGACCACCACCCTGGATAGCACAGGGGTGAACTGTGCACACCACAAGGCCAGACTTTGCACATGTGCATGGCTCTGTCCCAGCACTGGGCTAGGACCACACAGGTATAGACACGTCATGAAGGAGTGAAGACGTAAATGCATTGAGTCAGTGAAGTGACGGTGCCTTGTGGATTGCAATACACCTACATGTCAGATGTTACAGACCCTGTCAATGGTCAATGGCGGATCTTCCCAGTTGTCCTCAGGTAGGAAACTGCACAGTGCAGTGCACACGGGGCTTTAGAATCAAGGCTGCTCCCTGCTCACAGTAGGCCCAACTCAAGATGGTGGTATAGGCACAGTGCCAGGAAAGCAGAGGGTTTGGGGCCTCTGAGAAGGGAGGACTTGGCTTCCAGAAGCTCAAAGTCAGCAAGATCCATAAGCTTCCACTTCCAGGAGTGAGAAGTCTGTCCCTTTCCCCGCCATGGCTGCAATCATGAACAACCTGAGAAAAGCATCTATTTCCTATGATGCACTTTAGAAAAGTCAAGAGATAACTCCCAGTGTTCCTTCAGGTCAGGGGATATAGCTCAGTGGTAGCTCTCTTGCCTAACACGCACAAGGCCCCAGGTCCAATCCCCAGCACCACAAAGAAAGAAAAGAAAAACTGCCTTCAGAATGCAGAAGTTGCTGTGGAGTCTCAAACACCAAATGCCGCTCTCTTTGGAGGTCACCAAGGCTGAGGGTCTGACAATCGGATCAGAGGCCCTGGAGCAATGCTCAGGTGTGACCAGGTGCCCCCAGCCCTACCCAGTCCTATCCCTACCTACCTTGAATTCCTCCCCATTGTCGGTGTCCCCACATCCTGGCATTCTCAGCAGCGGGTCTGGAAGGGGACAGAGCAGAGTCAGAAAGCTTCTGCTGACATGTGAGGACCCTTTCCGCAGACCACCCAGAGGATGAGGCTGGGCAACAGGCCAATGTCACTGCCAGGCCCATTCCACGACCCCCTGATATAGAGATGTCCAGGGCTCAAGCCAGGCAGGGCTCTGGAGCCAGGTCTGCAGTCCGTCCCAGTACAGAGCTGAAGAAGACACAAAACCCAAGTCCTGAGCCTCAGGGCTCCGGGCAGGTCCCACACAGCCTGTCGGCAGAGGTGGGCACCCCAAGGTCAGCAAGGCAGCCTAGAGGAATACCTCGAGACACGGAGCCTGGGAAGGAGCTGGTCAGGAAGACAGGAAGCCCTCCAGGAGCAAGGTGAGGGGCTGGACCACGGGGGGCCAGGCCTCCAATCCCCTCCCAAGAAGCTTCAACCTGATAAATAAAGATGCCGTGGACAGGAGCAGGCCTGTAAGCTGGATTCTAGTCTAGAATTCCCTGGACCCAGTGGCTGGACAACGGCCTGGAGTGGCAGATTCCCTAAAGCACAGGGACCAGTGCTCCCACAGGCAAGGAAGGAGGGGGAAGCCTGGGGGGGAGCCGCAGGGGGTATGCCCACACCTCTCAGGGGCCGCAGCCGCCGTCTGGCCACCTTCAGGTGCTTGGTCCGACCGAGGTCCTCCCCCAGAAGGTAGTACCAGCCACTGACCTCCTGTGATGAGAGAAGGAATGACATTTTCAGACAAAGGAGGCAGAGGGCACAGGTCAGGCAGTTACCAATTGCTCTCAAAGAGTGGCAGCTGGACACCCCCCCTCAGAGATACAGATGTCCAGCCTCCTGCCTCACGGCCACCACACCTGCACCTCTGGGAGGCCCTCCCTAGAGCTCCAGCAGAACTGGAATTCCCTCTGTGGGACTCCGGGGCTTCTTATCCCTGGAGGACAACCGTGCAGTTGTCTCCTCCCCCACCTCCACCCCTGCTCCAGATTGTACACAGGCTCTTGACATGGCTGACACTGAGACTAGTACACAGTAGGAGCCCAATAAATGTTTGACAAATCAGAAGGAGGTGAAAGCCATATGGAGGGGACAAAGAGCGGACATTGGAGGCCCCTGTGCAGTCTCCAGGCTCCCTAGGGAACATCTTTTCTCATGGAAATGAATCCCAGGCGGCAGTCCAAAGATCATGGGGCCCTTAAGCAAGGTAAAGGGTCTTCAGCCACCACTACCCCAAATACTTCACTCCCAGGACACAAAGCTGGGTGGCAGGGCCATGCAGCAGGTCACCAGGACACCCAGGGATATGCAAACGGAGTGTATTCCTGCCCTGAGCAACAGCTGCAGTCTGGGAGTGGGCAGCAGGGCAGAGCAGAGATGACAGCTGGTGACCCAGAGGGAAGGCCTCCAAGTCCCATGTGCTCGCCCAGTCCAAGGGAAGCTCCAGAGATATGCCGCTCCCTCCTCCTCTGAGCACCTGCTGGACCAGAAGCATCAGACCCAGCAGACACATCAAGAGGACCCCTGTGTGGGACCACCAGGAGCACCTGCCCCCTCTTCCAGGGTGAGCCAGGAGTGCTCTGTTCCTCCAGGGACCTGCCAGTGACCTCAGCAGACACCAGATTCAGTGCCTCCAGGGAGGCCTTGTAGCTACCTAACTGCTGTCCGACAAGATAAACCAAGGAGACCCAAGCCCTCAGGTAGGTAGGTGACAAACAATGCTGTTATTGGGGACATTGGCACGTGCCTTGCGGGGAGCACCATGCCACAGAATCTCTACCCAAGGATTTCCAGAGAAGGCCTGCCATGCCAGGCTGGGCCTGGGCAGTATGATGTACTGGAAACCCCCCAGGACCCACCTTATCCGGAGCCAGGAGGGACTTCACCCCGAAGCTCATGCAGCCGATGAGTGCACATTTCCTGGGGAACAGCAGAGGACAACTCAGTGCCCGCACTGGGCGGCACCCAGAGTTCCACTACCAGTGCACACAGGGTTGCCCAGTGCACAGGACTGAGCGCTTTACCAGCCTAGGTTCACTTGACTCTTGAGATGCAAGGTCAGAAGTTCTCTCTGATTTAGAGAGAAACACAAGGCTCAGGGTTAGTACCTTCCCAGGGTCACAGGACTGGCGAGTCCTGTCACAGGAACCTGCTTGACCCGACCTCTGCCCGCTTGGTCAGTGACCAGAGGCCTAGAAGGTCTCTATAAACATATATTGTTAGGATCCTCTGGAAAGGGTGGCAGCTCACCCCCTAACAGGCTTAACCAAAACAAAAGTAGCCTCTCAAAGGCAGCCAAGCTAAGTGAGGGGTGGGGTGCAGGATGCTAGGGGACTGGCCCTCAAAACTGGTCCACCTGCCTGCTAATCCATGCTCTGAACCATGGCCACCCACAGGGCTGAGGCCTCTGCCTCCTGCTGTCTAGTCACTAGTTCACTCCACTACTCCTCCAGCTGTGGCTCCAGCTGTCACCATTCCCTTTTGCCCCCTCCCATCATATTCATAATCTACTCAAGGAGGACAGTGCAGTCAACCTGATAAAGCATCCCTTCCATGTCCACCTCCCCAGCCCACCGCCCAAACAAATCCTCCTTCCTACTGGGAGGTAGCCAAGGCCACACTAGCAGGAGGCAGTCGCAGTGGCTGCCTAAGTGGCAGATGCTCATCTGAGCTGCCACTCAAAGTTGTCTGGACTTTGCCAACATCGTCCTACTGATTTTGCTTTGTTTGCAACACATTCAAGAGAAAGCCGGCTGGTGTCCAGGTGCCCACATTGCCTTGCTCTACTCTTGTCTCATGCTGGGCACGGCTGAAATGAGAAATCTCCAGGCCAATGCATTAACTGTAATCAATGCAGCCCTGCCCTCCTCTCCAGTAA